GCCTTTTCGTTTTCCGCAATTTTAGCTTTGTTATTCAAATCTGCTAAAGTGTATGCAAGATCGTTGATGCGTTCAGTTAAGGCTTTGTTTTCATCCTTTATTTTCGCATTTTCCTGCCGTAGGTTTTTTAATTGTTCATCTTTATTCTCGTTCTCATCTTCGTCAGATATCTTAATAAACGCTTCCCTGAGATCTTTAATTGCCGAGTTAGTAGCATTTTGAAATTTTGCGAGCTGGTTTTTCAGGGTTTTCATCTCTATTCTGATTGTTTCGACAACATTTTGTAAGTCCCCAGTGGTATCAGAATTTATACTATATTCAATAAACAATATACTGAGAAACTTTATGCATGTTTTGATGTTAATGGACCAAAGACTTGAAAAACATTTTGTTCTAAGTGTCGATCTGATCTTGTCTTTAAATTGTTGTCCATGCAAGTAAATTTTAGCGGATTTTATAATGATATGTAATTTGTGAATTGGTTAGTTTAAATAGTGTTGTATAATGTTGCATGTCAGGCAGGACTTCATTTAGGACTATATTTATCCTGTTGTCTGAGCCTTCAATGAATGTCATATCATTGACATATTGTAATATTAATAATAGAGAGATTAAGATATCCGGTTGCGGTTTACGGTAGACTTGAATCAAGTCCGTCTCTCTAGAGTCCGAGTCGCGAAGCGACGAGATCGTTATTGCACCTCGCGCTCTCCCTCGGACTTTAGAGAGACGAACTTGATCCATGTCTAGGTTTACGGGTGATATACACGTACCCGTAAATCGTGGAATAACTTGGAGAAAACCTATCCAACGTAAATCGGAGGAAACCTATCAGAGGATAAATTATTGATGGTTAAGATTTTAAAATTTTTTAGTATTTAAACGACCCACAAATAGTAAACAGAAAAGACTCGTATGCGTTTGTCTTTCATGGTTTACCGCGGGGAAACGGGCAGAAATTACGGGTAAAAATGCTGACATCAGCACAAATCAGTAAACAAAATGGCGATACTCGAACCCGTAAACGGGGTATCTTAACCTCTCTGATAATAAAAAAATACACAAGCATTGATAAAATCTGGATAAGATATGAACGCAATAGACCTTATGCATAATGACGTCACAAGGCTTGATGCCCGCGAGGAATGCTGGTCTCAGTAGTCATCGCCCGGGGAAATTAAACAATTCAAAATGGCCACGATCGAAATCTTCGCGGGCGATCACTATTAAGACCAGCATTCCTCGCGGGCATCAAGCCTTGTGACGTCACTATGCATAAGGTCTATTCTTTATTCTGCAGTTTCGCCAAGAGCAGCGGTTCCGGCGAGTATAAGATGATTGTCAGCGGGAGACTGGGTCGATCAGTGAGCAAGGAACAATATGCATTTATCTACAGGTAAATAAAATACCTTGATCATCTCATAATTAAAAATAATTAAAAATGTAGGGAGGTATTAACGTGAAAATTTGCGGGACTGTGTGATGGAGATTACCCATGCAGGGGCAAACTGATCAAATTTATACATGTTACATAACTTAATTCGTTGGCGGAGGTATCTAGTCTTGCATTTACTTCCATCATATTAATTTTTACTTGAACCGCGTTAATTGTTAATTGTGTTACAGCAACGCTAAAAGTTAGCAAATTCTTTATTGGTTTAGGAAAAGTATTGCAACGGTGAAGGCGAGTTACACATACGTTGATAAAAATGACGATTTTGAAAGAGAGCCTTTTGTTGTTCGTCTCCATGTTCCCTCAGCAGGTGAGAATATAATCGCCTTCCTTTGAAAGGATTCTGTGAAAAGGATTATGCTTTATATCATCCCAAACTGCATGCGTTCAGCATCTCACTGGGATCGGAATATGTTCCGAGAAACCTTTTCCAAAAAGAAAATTAGATACAAAATGCACCTATCTAGAACCACCGCGTTCACAATGTGAACGTCCCTGCGTGGAGGGCGTGTACCGGGCCAGGGTAACACACGTAAAATCTCATAACTTGTCCACAAGATGTGTCCGCAACAGGCTTGTAGCAATCTTGTCAACAAGTTGTAACAATGCTATTATTTTACCAAGATGCTACAAGGTTGTCACTCAAACTTGTTGAATTGCAGGACGTTGTTGGAAAAAACTTGTAACAAGTCTGTTGAGCTCAACAACCTTGTAGCAAGTTGTCAACAAGCCGTTGATAACTTGTCAATAAGCTGGGAACAAGCTGACAAGTTGTTGGAGCAGCATTGCTACAAGTCAGCTGCAGGTTTGTTACAACTTGTGCGTTTTTACGTGTGTAGGCGCGTGACGTACTCTGCCACACACGTGACACAGAGGCGTAGCAAACCAAAGTGCCTGAGGAAATAATAATAATTATACATTTATCCAGGATACCCACTTTACGCAGGACACCACTGAACTATACAATTACTTACAATATTATATATAGTTGTCAATATTTAAACCGTAAAACAATGATGAAACGAACAATTAATTCATAAATTATTAATTTATAGTCAGTAAGTGTGAAATATGCCTCAAAAGGTGCAATAGAATTTATGACAGAATTGGAATCTATAGTTGATTAGCGGAAATATTTCTACATCTATGATACAGTTTCTATGAGTGGCAAAATGAAGGGTTAGCCCCGGCATCATATTAGGACTAATTTTCACCTTGTGCTTTGTACTTATTTGCAGACTAGTTAATCACAGTTGCAAGTACAAGTAGCTTTGGTTTTTTTAATTAAAATCATAGTTAATCTATTAACTATGATTGAACACATACACACACACACACACATACATACATATACATATACATATACATAAATCATGGATCTCACACGCCATCAAGTCTTTAATCCAGAAACGACAGAACGCATTCAATAATAATGACCCAGTCCTATGGAGGCACTATAAAAATAAAGTTAAGAAAGAAATTTCCAAACGCAAGAAAGCATTTACGAAGATAAGGTTAAGCACCTTAAGAATGAAGATTGTAGGAAATGGTGGAGATTTGTGAATAGCTTATCAGGAAGACGAAATAAGTCGCAACCTTTCACAATCGAGAAGAACGGGTTAGCTTTAACCGACTTCGAGCTTGCTGAACATTTAAACACGTTTTTTCTATCTGTTAACGAAGATATCTACCCTTTGAACATAGACAGTATACCTGCTTTCCTCCCAGCGGAAGAACCCCTTCCAAAGATTTCTGAGATTGAAGTCTACAGTAAATTGGCCAAGATTAACCCTTACAAAGCAAGTGGCCCTGATTACATCCCCGCACGTATTCTAAAGGAATTTTCTTTCGAGCTCTCGAAACCAGTTGCACGGGTTTTTAACGTTTCTCTTTCCGAAGGAGTCACCCCAACT